TTCTTAACGGATAATTAAACGAGGCGACTCACCTTACTTACCAAGACATTTCTCTTTAAATGTCTTCAGTCAATGCTTTAATGCAACTGAACCAAAGGTCAAATAATTTTGGTTCTTATATCTACGTAAGTACAATAAAGTGCGATAATATCGTTAAATCTTTTAATGGAGCCATATTAGGCAAAATAGCAGATGAAAATCTTTAATAGCGGGGCGCATTTCGTTTAAGTTTTGATATAATTATTTTTATCTGATATATTTACTCCATAATTAATAGACACATTTTTTTCATATTCTTGGATTGATCCGCAAATTAAATAAAGTTACCATTAATAGATGAAAGTTTTCTAGAACTATTACAACAATCGAAGAGTAGCACTTACAATTTTTATTAATGCAATTTTAACTTTATTTCAATTATGTTCACGAGATCATCTATACTTTTTGTCTCTTATGTGAGAGAAAGCATAAAATAAGGGTAGGATATTTTTATCTAATCTTCCATCTGTGCAGCTGGAAATTGACAAGCTGCCATAGTTTTGTAATAAAAATAAGTCTAAACGACGATCTAGGGCTTATTAAAAGTCATTCTTTTACTTTTATGCATTTATGTTATCTCTAAAATACTGCCCTTTAAGGCATGAAGTTACTTTTGGTTGCTTGTTGCAGGCTGATTGTTTTCCATCTGTGAATCACTTTGTTCGGGGAGGAAAATGCACAAGTAACTGAAATTATCGAAGTAATTTCATTAATTTCCTTTTACTGCACAGAAAAAAAAAATTTTAACCGCAGCAAATAAATGGTGCTTAGATAATTCGTTGGATTCGCCTTATTTATTTTATGCCTGTATAGCTAGCCACTCATAAACTGAAATTGACACTTAAGCAAATAATAGAAATTATATAGCCAGTAAAGTTTGCGGGAAATTTAAAAAGAATAAAACCGGATTCTAGAATTATACATTTTCTAGTTATATAAGCTTAATTGTGTTTAGTTTTAGTTTATCTATGCTTATAATATTGTTATTACCAACCACGGAGTTAGAATACCTAGTGAAGGGATGTTACTCTCCAATTGTTTCTGATATTATCGAATTTTCACATACATTACATTAAGCCATAAGAAAGCCTTTTAGTGTTTTTCGCCAGCTTATTTAGAGTTTCTGTTTATCCAAGGGATATATATGATTTATTTAGGTTGAAAGTTTAAATCAATAAGCAAGGATGAATAAAGTGAAATAAATGATATGATTGGGCAATTTTATCCCAAAGTTAGGGCCAGACAGAATATGTGAGTCTTTTGTACACAATATAAGGGTTTCGTATGGCTTATCACCAACGCCTCTACTGAGGGGTGAGTGAAAGCATGTCGCGGTTCGTCAACGACAATAAACACACTTTCCATTTGTATAGAATGGCCAAATTCAACAAGCTATTTAACAGTCACGCTCTCAATCCGTCAACTCGTCCTACCCTGCAACCAGTTCGTCCTATACATTTTAACTCGACGAGCAAGCCCTCCTCTACTACGCTCCTGTACAACTGTGACTACTGTTACACCTAATTTGCGAAATGCCACTGTTCCAAGTCCTCGTTTGTAAGTTACGTTGGAGAATCTTTTATTTGTAGGCGAAAGTTTGGTGTAGCTCAGAGCAACAATTTGTTGGGCTAGGTCCGTTTGAATAGGATGGGCTGTATTTGCGTCCTCTTGTACTAATTGGACGACACCGAGGCCATGAATGTGTTGACTGTATCGCAATAAAATTCCTGGAGGTGTCATAAAAGCAAGAGGATTCGCTTACAATCATCATGTATGGGAAGAACATGCCATGATCGTAAGACTCCATTGTATCCATCTACCATTGACACATGAGTTAAAATTATCCTTAACTTAGCGACTAAATAAATCCAAGTTTCCGAGCGCTGGATGGAGGGCAGGTATGTCTACTATACCGCGCGAGTAGCAAATTTAGTAGAGTGGACCAGTCGAAAGCGTGATTACGAAATATCTCGTCAGCGGGGATTATTTACAAATCCAGACGACCCACCTGCTTCCTGAAATGATAGGAGAGGATGACCTCAATGTATGCGCAAAAGATTCCTACTTTTTTTATTTCTCTTAAATGACTATTGATTTATTTAAATGTCAGCCTGTATAA